GCAAAGTTATAAGTGCAATACATTTTTTTGGAAATTGATTTTTTAGCTTTAATAAAATTGCGCAAAATATTAAATTAAATTACAGCATAGCAATCAATAAGTGTTTTTTTGTTGTTGTTGTTGTTGTTTTTTTTTAAAGTGATTAGTTAGTGAAAATTCTTTACATTTTTACTCAATTTAGCATATTGTTATATATCAATAACTTTTCTAGATTAGATACTTTCATAATTTTTAAAAAATAGTATACATTTTTTATTCATAATATTTTAAAAAGGCATGCAAAAATATACATTTAAAAAAAAAATAAACAAATCATTTTAAATATTTAAATTAGATAAATTCTTCTCTTCTTATTGCCTTTACCAACCATCTTCTCATATTTATATAAAAGACATTGTACTGTTGACTAAAGTTATTATCAGGTGATAAAATATATTCTAGAGTTTCTATAACAGTCATGTCGGGATTAGCTTTTCTCGTGGATTTGTTAAGTACGCTTACTATTATTTACTATTAACATCTTCACTTCCAACAAGGCTGCAAGCAACCACTATAAGAGTTGGAAGTTACTGGAAGAGAAAAGACTAAATCTGTAGAGCAAGATAACGATGACTGATGACTTAAAAGATAAGATGACTGATGACTTAAAAGATTGCAAATTATATGAATCAGGAAAGCAAGATGAAGGAAGCGAATTTCAAAGAACTGATGTTCGAGGAAAAAAACTAGAAGAATAAGAGTTTTTGAAGCACTTAGGAACAGTCACAGAAAAAGGATGAGACTTAATTGAATGGCGAGTAACACGAGAATGAATTTTAATAGATGGCACAAGGGACGCTAGCTCTTTAGAGCAGTGCCCATTATAGTATTTGTAGAAAAGAGAAAGAGAAGCAACATTACGACGATGTGACAAAGGTTGGAGATTGGCTGCCAGAGCAGGTCCAACTATGTTTACAATTCGTTTTTGCACCTTGTCTAAAAGAGAAAGAGCATCATTAGAAGATCCGCCCCAGATGTGGCAACGGTATTCCATACAGGGACGGATTTGAGATTTATAGAGATAGAGAATAGAATCAGGAGTAAGAAAGTGTCGAGCTCGATAAAGAGATGCAACCTTAGCAGATGCTAATTTTGCAATGGATTTGATATACGGTTTAAAAGAAAGATCAGAAGTAAGAGTTAATCCTAGAAGATGAATGGTAGATGACTCATCTAGTACATTACCATTCATAAATATAGGAAGATCTAAATTATTACGATAACGATTGGCCGAATAAAATTGAGTTTTATCTGAATTAAAGTTCACCAGCCACTGTGAGCCCCATGCTGTAGCAGAAGTGAGATCCTTTTCAAGCTCAGATACCCCCTCCAAGCAATCAGAGAGTGTAGGCTTCTTATCATGACAAGAGTAAATGGTAGTGTCGTCAGCGAATAATGCCACCTTAGATGTGAGAATATATGGAAGATCGTTAATGTAAATTAAAAAGAGTATAGGGCCAAGGATTGAACCTTGAGGAACCCCTGAAGTTACAGGATGTGAAGAAGAGTGTTGTCCATCGAGGACAACTTTTATACTACGATTGGAAAGAAAGGACTCAATAATCTTAAAGACGTTACCAGCTACACCATAAGAAGAAAGCTTATGGAGAAGACCAGCATACCAAACTTTATCAAAAGCTTTAGAAATGTCAAGTGCGATAGCCTTAACCTCTCCACCTCTATCTAATGCACGGTAAAACCTATCGGTTATTACTGTTAGCACATCAGCTGTAGAACGAGAAGACCGAAATCCATATTGATGATCAGAAAGTAAGTTATTTGATTCAAGATGAGAGATTAAGTGTTTGTTGATTAAAGATTCAAAAACCTTGCTTATGACAGGAAGAAGACTAATGGGACGGTAGTTAGATGAATCAGATTGCTCTCCGGAATTTTTGAAAATAGGGATAACAGATGCTGCTTTCCAGCATGATGGAAAACAAGACTCTGATAAGCACTTGTTAAATAGTTTAGAAAGTATGGATGAAAGCTCCGGAGAACACCTCTGCAAGACTACAACAGGAATGTTGTCAGGACCACAAGCTGTTGAAGAGTCTAAGCAGGAAATTACTTTAGATACAGAAGCTGAAGTGATGCGAATGTCAAGCAAGGGATCAACCTGTTTGACGGCTATGTCAGGTAAAACGCAACTAGTGGAATCAAGAGATGATATTGATGAAAAGTTCTTAGCAAACAATTCAGCTTTGTCTTTAGGTGAGGTGACAAAGTCTGAACCATACAAGAGAGAAGGAATAACAGATTTGCCCTTATTATTGATACTGTTAAAGATTCTCCAGAAGTCTCGAGAGCCTAATTTTAAATCACGGAAAGATTCCCAGTCAGCTTTAAGGTAGTTGTATGTGGTACGATGATAGGGGGATTCTGATGAAGTAGAAGAATTTGATAATAGTTTTAGAGAGATCAGACCGTGATCAGAAGTACCTAAGGGTGAATGTGGAGAAATTGAGCACTGACTAGGATCCAAAACAAGACATAAGTCGAGTAGAGAAGGTAAATGATTAGGGTTGTCTGGAAAACGAGTTGGAAAGTTGACTATTTGAGTAAGAGATTGAGAAAGGCAAAAGTTGAGGGCCTTAACGCCAGCAGAGTCACTGACACTAGAGCCAAGCCAATCGGTGTGATGGGCATTAAAGTCACCAACAACGACGATATTGGCCGATGGATAAAGAGAGAGGGCTTGGTCAATTTGATCAGAAATAACATCAAGAATAGTGCAATCTTGGGATGAAGGAGAGCGATATAGAACAAAGAGAAAGGCGATAGAGTAAAGTTGTGCTAAACGAAAGCACATAAATGAATAGTCTGTAGATTCAAACCTAGTTTCACGACAAATGGGTGAGTTCTTACGAATGTAGATGCCCAGGCCAAGCATGTGATTATTGGAGTCTTTACGAATTAAAGGAAGATAACCATCAACATTAAGATCACAAGATGGGACAGCCGAACTCAAATTAGTCTCACAAAGAGCAAGTAGGTCTGGTGAACTTTGCAAGAGATAAGACTCAACAGAAGAAAAGTTACTTCGAAGACCACGAATATTAGTAAATGATAGGTTTAGAGAACTTGGTGATGACTGTGGTTTTTTGTGTTTTTTAGTTTTAGGTACTTTAGTCATTTTAAATTTATAAAGAACTTGACTCAAGTATAGATAGTACTCAGTACACTATTTAACAACTAAGCAATAGCCTCATTACTATTAATAAACCCTAAGCCGTAACAAAGGGCTCCAAATGTGGCCTCTGCAATGCACACCAAAAGTACAAACAGGGACACCATCCATGCGCAACATGGCACTGTTAGGACTCTGATATTTTTCGGCTGTTGATGGAATCAGCCTCTCTGAGAGCTACCACAGAGTTCGGGAAACCTGACTACCAGCCGGCCTCAGAACCATAAAACTGAGTTTTAGAGCTGTACCCTCATTAGGAGATAATAGAATGAGTTGCCCAGTCATAAAAATAGAGACACAAGCAATACCCACGCATTGAGTCAAGAAGATCCAGCGTTCAACATCCTAAACTGGAAACAATGTATTAAAAATACATCTGCGCCAGCCTAATAGATGAGGAAGGGGTGCGAGGCTGGTCAACAGATAGAATCTGTTTACCCCTTAAGTCTTTGCCTAGGAGGCCTTCTACAAGACAGCAGCTGGATGCATGTAACATCTGCCCAAGATGAGTATTTTTATCGAGACACCATTTCTAGCCTTTACTCAACCAAGAGCCCCAAGGTAGGGGGTGTTTTAATTCGGAGTTAACTTCTCCTAGCCTTTGCCTAAAAAAGCGTATCCTACAAGGCAGCAGGACATGGAGCAGGTTGTACTGGGTTACATGTTACCAGTAGCAGGAAAACCTGACCTGACCTTGAATAAATAATACGCTTTTGTATCTTTTGGAGAATAGCCATGTGAGCACACTTTATGTTTATTGAATCCGGTTTCGTCTAAAAATACCAAATTTGAATCAGCAACTCTAGCAAATTCTGCCGCAAAAACTGATCTCTGATTTATTACTTCCATGGTGTTTCTTTCTTGAGGAATGATTGCTTATCTTTTTCGTGTCAATTTTAATTTCTTTAATTTACAGGAAACAAACGAGATTGAAACGTTTTAACCATGTTGTTCTAAAATTTGCGTTTGAATTTCTTTTTGAACTATGGCATTGTTACAGACCACGGAATTAAATATTGTCTGTTCAATGTTTGTATTTATAGAATTTTTGATTTTATACGTTTCTTTTCTTTTTACTTTAGATGAAGTTAAGGGTATTAGCCAAATTCACATCAGAGGCCTGGATCTATTTGTAGGGAAAAAAATAAAAATGGTAGTTTTATTTACAATTTTTTTAGCGGATCTAAAAGTTCTGTTTGTGTTTTTTATTCCGGGAAAAGTTTGAATTAATAGCTTTAACTATCCTAGATTTTAAAATGGTGAAATGGACATGTGCTTCTTCTATGTGTTTTAACAACTTCACTTCTAAAGACGCAAATGGGAAACCAATTGGATTTTATCGCCTTCCACGTGTCGTAGCTATTCAGAACGAATACAAAATTTTTTTTAAAACAGTTGGAATGAATTGGGATCACGGTCACATTTGTGCAGCTCATTGGAGTAATGGACGAGAAAGTGCAACGTCGTTACCCGATATCTTTATTCCTAAAGATCAATATAACAAAATAGTAGAAAAATATAACATAGCTAAGGAAACATATGCAAAGTATAAAAACCCTAGTGACAATATAAAAAGTCGTTTAAAAGTTGCAAAACAAAAATTCGAAATGGCAACTGAAGTTTTAAATGATCTTTCAAACAAAAACAATCGTGTTGAAATAGATACCCTTCTGCCATGCTCATCGATACAAAAAGAGCCTATTCAGAGTTCAGTACTATTCAAGATATCAAATTTAAAAAAAAAATGATAGAAGCAAAAAATCAAATTGAAATGCTTCAAGCACAAAATAAAATCTATAATAAACATAAAAATAATTTTAAATATTCTGAATTACTTAACCAGCCAATTGTTTTTAAGTACTTATGTGGACTCACAGTTGAACAATTTAGTTTACTTTTAAATTCTGTTCAACCATATACTCACTTAATTCCATATCCTGACTGCAAGAATAACTCTAATCGAAGATTGATCGATTTACCAACTGAACTGTTATCTGTTCTTACAACATGTCGACATGGACTCAATCAAGTTATGTCATACATTTTAAATATATCAAAGTCGACTACTCAAAGAATATTTATAGGATGGGTTATATTTCTGTCAACCATACTCAATGAAATCGATTTAAAGCCAGAATCTGGTTTTTTTGTAAAAAAAATGCCAAAAAGTTTTATTGAAACTGAACATGGTCTCACTGATTTAATTATTGATGCAACTGAGTTTAAATTCCAAAGTGCTTCAAACTTTGAGCTAAATTCTTTGATGTTTTCTAATTATAAGAATACCCAAACAGGAAAAGCTTTGATTGGAATAGCACCACACGGTGGCGGCATATTATTTAGTGATATATATCCAGGCTCTATCTCAGATTCAGATCTAACAGAAAAATCCGATACTATTCTGTTTGTAGAGAAAGATCATGAGATTATGAGTGATAGAGGTTTTTCAATACAAGAGTTTTGCGCAACAAAGGGAATAACATTATATCGTCCAAAACAGAAAGATTCTGATCAATTTTCTCAAGTTGATGTGGCCCGTAACTTTGACATAGCTTCAACACGTATTCACGTTGAAAGGTACATTATGGGAAGAATATGGGATTGGGGAATTATGAACACTGTGTGGCCCATAAATAGAATGGATTTGTTATCTTCAACACGGCAAATGTTAGCACACATTGTAAATTTAACAATGCCTCCTATAGGACCAAAAAAATAGTATTTAACAAAATTGCTTTCATTATATAGTTTAGTTTATTTCTCTTAAAACTCGTAGGTCAAATTTTCCAAGAGGTATTAATAAAAAATTTAAAATTTAAACTGTTGAAATTAAAACTGAACCCCAACAAAAAACAATTCTTAAGATACTAAGATAATTATGTTCAGCAACTTTAAATGTTATAATAAAATATTAAAATCCAATTCATCAACAAAATAAATAATAGGTGCTTTTTTAGCAATTGCTTTAATTACTGTTCCCAATTTTCAGGGTAAAAAAATCTGGAATTTGACCAATTATAGCTTTCGAGAAATTATTAATTCTTTGATTTCCATATGATCCCATTTTAATATCTTATGATTGTGATAGATGGAATCTACAAGCTCTTTGATAATTTGCATTACTGTGTAATTACGACAAACTAGAAAAAAATTTGAAGATTCTGTTTCAGGGTGGTACGACTGTAAAACGCAATATTTTGCATCAGTGCATAGCATTTGAAGTTGGCATTGAACATAATATTGTGGATAATCACTAAGAGATTTTAAAGGCCCATCGGTAAATTGTGCACGAGTTTTCACTTCTAGTAAAATCCTGCAAGGACCTAAAACATCAGGGCTGCATCCATACTTTTTATCAAAAGGGTGATCAAAGAATCCACATTTTTCAATTTTGCATTTACTAATTTTTTCAAAGTTTTTTATTGCTATTTCTTCATAAAAGATACCCCGTTAAATATTTTTTATATGACTCATATCAGGGGTGCTAGTACCATTTTTGATGACATCCCAAATCAATGAATATTGTACATTTCCATACATCCCTAGTAATGCTGGTAGTCGACTTGCAGTAACTTTAAACTTTCTGCACTCATGCCACTCATCGGTACCTTGCTTTACATCCATATAGTTACTACCATATGGCTTTGGTGATTTCAAAAAACTTAAATCTATTTTAATGTTTTCAATATTACTTTTCAGCTGCTCGTTTATTTCATCATGTAGTGGTATGTTTTTGCAATTTTGATAGAATAGATCTGTTGTTTCAACTTGTATTTTTAAAGTATTCTGATTTATTATAAGATTTATAAAAGACTCATTTTGGTGTATATTTACATTTGTACTAGTACCAGTTTTAATTAAAGATTCATTATCTACATAATATTTTATTTGCTCTATTTTTTTGTTTTCTACTTCTATCACACTTTCATCAAACAATTGTGATTTGCAATATTTATGATCAGCTAATGCAAAAGCTGTTTTTAATGTATATTTGTAATGCAAATGTTGTCCAACAGAAGTCTGTATCCCAAATGTTGAATTAATTAAAACAGAATAAATATGCATTTCAATCGGTTTTTCCTTTTTCAATTGTTCTATTAGTCTTTTTACAATCAAATTTAAATCTCTTTTATAATTGTTTGAATTAAGATCAGCTGGAGATATTTTTAATTTACCATACTTTTTTTTTAAATTGGCTGATTTTGGTTTTATGTTTTTAAGTGGAACCATAGGTATAGACCCTTTTGTAGACCGTTTGTGCCATTTTTGTAGTTGTTGTGGGCACGACAATTCTAAAATTATCTCATTAGTTTCAAAATAATGTTTTAAATATAATAAAAGAGCTAGAATATGACAGCACAATCCACTAGAGCCTATCGGACAACTACAATATGCTCGTTTAGGAGTTATGTTTTCAAATAACACAACAGCAGGCCGTATATCAGTACCATACGACTTTTAATCATTCCTTAGACATATATTACATTATTATCCTGCAGTGATTTCACTGAAACGATTTTCCTGCTCTGTAGCATTCTTACAGCTTTTTCCTGTTGGCCAATATTCCCCTGTTTTTTATATGAACAATAATTTTAAAAGGTTTCCTCGTTTACAAGGGGGTACAAGGTTTCATCAGAAGACCATTTTGATGTTACTTGAGGTATATATAACGGGTTTAGACTGCATTCAAACGTATAATTCCTTTTTGCTTTGACTCTCAATCGTTTGACTAAATTTAGATACAAAGAAAACTTTTGGAATTCTTTGACGCAACTCTTTCAATGTTCCTGATACTGACTGCCCAGTTTCTTTGAGCCACATCATACATTGTATTTTATTTAAAAAATAAATATTATCTGACATTTAATAACTTTAAACGTAAATAAACATTTTCAGTAAAATACCATAATAAGTAGATTCAAAAATTAATATAAACCCAATTACTTTAAACAATTCATTTTTCGCTTCTCAATCAATCATATTTCAATATGACTTTTAAATTATGCCACTGTTTTTATTTAAAAAGATTTGAAATTTATGTAAAAACTTTCAATAAACAAAATCAGACTTAAAACGGTTTTGTTATTTACAAAGCTACCATTTTTATTTTTTTCCCTACAAACCGCGTTATATGAATTTGGCTAATATTATCACTATTTTTTATAACACGACTAACAGCACTTCGAGGTAAATTACAAGCGTATATTGGATATTTCCTTGATTGAATATTTTTCACTATTTCTCATTGAAATAGTCGTATTTTTAGTTTCTTCTGTAATTGTTTTCCGTACTTTTCTTTCCGTTAATATTTAAAATGAGTTAAAATTAATTTTATTAATGCACTTGTAACTTTGCAAAACCCTGTAAATAAGTTTCCGTAAACTAACGTATGCGCAGAATATCAGTAGAATTTAGCGATCTACTTATTTCACTTGACATCGGTATGTTCTTTTGATTTAGGGCAAAAATTTGAACATCCCTGACGCATGATTGAACTGTTGCTTCCAGAATGGGCAGGTATTAGATTCGATGAATACTAAGAAAACTTGATTTTTAATTGAAAAAAACACTTAATAATAACAGACAGATAATTGGTTGTAAGTTAAATAATCTGAAATAGGTTAAAAATGAAAACCTATTAGATAGGTCAAATCAATCGAAAACACCTTGGAAATAAAAGACTATGATCAGTTGAAAACAATTCTCAGGCCTCAGTAGGTTATCCGAAAATTAGTTTCATAAACGTTCTTTATGCATGTCAAACCAACACAGAAAAATAAGCCTGGAAAAAAATGCCCCGCAAATAAAAATATTCTATAGATGTTGCTTAAGGATTAAGAGAGCCTGACAAGTCAATGTTCAGCAAATCTTGCATGTTCTACCTATTTATCAGTCGATGTATATACACTCTTCGCATGTTCAACCTGTCAGTCGATTTATGAAAAATGAAGGATTTAAATTTAGTTAGTATTGTGCGCATGTATAAACATATTTATTATAATATTGATATAAAAATATATGAATATTATAAATATTAAATTTTTTTTATTTATATTATAAGCAAATAAAGTCGTTAATTTTAAGCGCTGTAAAAGTTGAGTAGTAAATAAAGAGTTTACAGAAACAGTTGGAACTGCCTATCAAATCTAGAATTAAAAAATACTGAAAGAAATTCTACTCATTTATTTATATAAAATTCCTTAAATGTTCATTTCAAATCAGATTTCTTTTAAGTCGTTGAATTCCTTGAAAATCTTGATGATTCAGTAAAAACGAGACACTTCCAAAATATGCCAACGGACTCGGAATCGGAGCATGCCACTTGCTATAACGAAGTTAACCATTTAGAACGGTAATTTATTCCGAGTCATCACCAAAAGTTAGTTTAGAACCTTCAAACTTTTGAATCGAACCTTTGTTTCCGCCTGCACCACGCCCTCTACCACCACCTCGCCCGCCTCTACCACCACCACGACCACCACCACCACCACGCCCTCCACCAAAACTTTCTTTAGGGGCAGCAAAAACTATGTTAATATTGCGACCATCGAGATCTTTTTGATTCATGGCGTTTCTAGCTTTAGTAGCACTTTCGACATCGTTATATTCTACAAATGCGAAACCTCTTGATTTACCTGTTTCGCGGTCTTTCACGACTCGAGCATCATTAGCATCAGAAAAAGCAGAAGCTAAGCTATCATTGTCTGTTTGGAATGACAAATTTTTGACCATTAAGAGCTTTGTAGGTGTGTCATTATCAAAATTTCCACCTCCTCGTCCACCGGATCCAAATCCTCCTCGGCCACGATCGGAACCACGACCTCCCCTTGCACCACCCCCGCGACCACCTCGACCACTTGCTGGCGTAGAAGGTTTGCTATCAGCGTTATCGCAACGAATGGACCTACCATCCAATTCTGATCCTGATAAAGCAATACACTTTTTTGCTTCCTCTGCAGAATCAAAATCTGCATATCCAAATCCTTTTGATTGGCCATCACGAGAAATGATTCGCACACTAGTGGGTTTTAAGCCATTACTAGAAAGGAATGATTTTAATGAAGATTCTTCTGTGCTAAATGACAATCCACCAATAAAAACACTAGCGGACTCTTTCCCTTTTTTAGCTGGGGTTTTGGATTTATTATTGTTATCATCAGCTTTTCGCTTCTTCGAAACAGGGGCAGCCTCCGTTTCCATTTCTTCTTCATCATCTTCTTCATCAGAACTAGAGTCTTGCTTCTTTGCAACTAAATAATACAATAAAATAGTTAACACTATGATATAAATTAAAACATAAAAGTAAAATGTTGTAAGTTTTAATTACCTTTCTTTGGAGCAGATTCCTCCTCATCTTCTGAAGATTCATCTGATTCATCAGGTTTGGCAGCTGATATAAAATATTAAATTGATTAACAAATTTGAAAAATGAAACTGATCTTTATTCAAAATTTATGTCGATAGTAGTTTGATAATTTTAAACCTTTTTTAGAAGCAGGTTTTGCATTTTCTTCATCTTCTGAGCTCGATTCTTCTGAGCTCGATTCTTTAGCGGCAACTTTTTTAGAAGCAGCTAAAAATAAATTAAATGTCAATAACAAAATAAATAGATAATTGAATTAATTTATTTTATCTATCTGATGAAAGAATTTTTTAATTCTGATTTTAATTTCAACAAGGCTGCAAAAGCAACTACAATCAAGTTGGAATTTGTTTGAAAAAAAAGAAGAGTTATAGAGCAAGGATAAGTTCAACAGAAGACTTGAAAAGTTGAAAGTTGTTATTCTTGATACTGTGATGAAACTACTACTAGACTTATTTTATCATTTATTTATTGATGTGATCAATATAAATCCTTTATTTTTGATTTAAAAAATCTTAAAAGTATATCCTTAAAAATTAAAAATATTTTAGAGTAAAATATTTTAGAGTAAAATATTTTAAAGTAAAATATTATAGAGGAAGATTAGACTAAACAAACCTTTTTTAACTGGGACAGACTTTTCTTCATCACTTGACTCATTTGAGCTAGATTCCTCTTTAACAGGAGCCTTCTTTGCAACTACAATGAAAATTAACAACATTTTGTAAGCAAATTAGATGTTGATAAATTTATGAAAATACATACTATCAAGTTGTATAGTGATGCCTGTTTATAATTTTGTAGGTTATAATTATTTTGCTTATCTACTTATATCTATTTTACAAGCTTGTAAATAAGATTACAAAACAGCATTATTTTTATATACAGCAGAAATAAATAATTATTTCTTATAATTTTACTCCTATATCACACACTTTAACTTCTGATTTTAATTTTAATTGAGTAGTTTAACAAGACCTTAGCTGAACACAAATTTTTTTAATTTAAAAATGGTTCCAACAACTAAAGTAAAAAATCTAAAAAGGGTTAAGATAGATATAGTAAAATTCAGCTAAAACCATACTTATTGCTGAAAAATATTGATAGCCCTAATAACCCATAAGGGCAAGAGTTAGTTAGAAAGAACTAAAAAAAAAAAAAAGGTGCATGAAAAAAAGAAAGTAATAGATACTAAACATATAAAAAACAGCTTTTTATAAGAAATATAGTTATTGTAATATATATATTTGTTAACCTGTTTTTTTTGTCTGTATGACAGAAACAACAGCAACAGCGAAAAAAATTCAGGTGCTATTTTGACAGATTTGACAGAAAGACAAAACAAATAAGTGAACAATAACAAATCACTTTCAGATAATTGGAGTTGTTAGATAATTGGAGAATCAGTTTGTCTCAGGACCTTTCAATTCAAGATAAATAGATGACTGTTGATGTTAAGATGAATAGATGACTGCTTCACTGTTTATGCAGTGATAAAACTTTGTAACCAAGAGATAAACTTGTAGAGATTCAGAGATTTTATTTTAGGCAGATTTTATTAGATATTATAAAAATGAAGAGAAAAAAATAGGAATGAAAATCATTATTGTGACAGCAGTTTTTGATTTAGGAGTTTCTTTATAGCAAAATAATTAAACTAGAGCAATTTACTATTTCCAGGCGTCTGCAAAATTATTGTTATATATAACAATGTTATATATTTTGTTATATATAAAAAAATGCTTAATGCATTTGCCTTATGTGAATATGACATCATAAAATTCTTTTTTAAAGATTTTTTTAAGACATTAACTTTATTTAAATTACTCCAAGATATTTTAAATACAATTTAACTCATTTTATTATTATTACTATAAAGGAATGTTCATTTTCTTTCAATTTTTCATTCAGATTAAATAATTAAATTTAATATTACATTTTTAAACATATTTGACATAAACCAATTTCAAATTTGTATAAATGAATTAAAATATGTTAAAATTTTTCAAAATGATTATTTCATAAATTTCTAATAGCGGCCTTAGCAACTAAAAACCATTTTATATTTTTATTATTACTTTATAGCGTAAAATAAATTTAAAAATTATCTTATTCACTTTCATTATTAAAAGTTTATTACTTTATTAGCAATATTATAATGAAAACAAATATTATTTTTCAAATTATGGCGCTAGTGCAGATTCTTGCCTCCTGTGGTGTTGTAGTTTAAAAATTTACACTAAAAAAACGCTAGTATTCACTATCTTTTTATCCGGCCTAATGCCCTGTATGCTAACTTTAAAAAACACAACACACAGATTACTTTTAAACATCAACTTTTTTTATTAACATCAAACAAAGGGTTAAACTAAGTAATCCTGTATTGCGATATCTGGAATAATTTCTGGTCCTCCAAGTTTTAGTTTGAAGAAAACTGTAAATGTTTTAAGGTTCAAAGTTTACCCTGGTCTTATTTTAAAAATCCAGAAATTGTTTCGGTAAAATACCCGGAAAAAATCCTGAATACATTTTCCCTTATATTTCTCTTGATTTTGATTTTAGCTGAGCTGTTTCTATTTTTTTTTAATTTCATTAATTCTTGTATGAGCAATGAGTAAAAAAGCTTAAAAAAGAAATATATTACAAAAATATGTACCTAAACTTGTATGTATGGAAAACATTTTGGATATCCGAAAAACTATAAGTTGAGAAAAATATCTAGAATTCCGGAAATATTTGAAAAAAGATAATCCCTGAAAGTTACAGGGTTAAAAGTTTTAGTTTAAAGAAAACTGTAAATACCAAAGTTTATTTAAGGGGCGAATAAAATAATATTTCTTATGAAAAACTAAATAACTTCATTTATTAAAATTTTGATTTAGAGTTAAATAACTAAGAACTAAATAACACAATAAATAACTAAATAACACATTAAAAATAAGAACAAATATGACTAGAAAAACTAATAACACAAGCCTACTCAACTTCCATTAATAATTTGATACTCAACAGAAACAATTGCCACTGATTTAGAAAATTGAAAAAATGAGGACAATAATTCTTGGTATTGCAAATAAAAATTATATTTCCATGTATTGCAATTTGTAATTGCTCAATGTAACTTTTTTTAAATTAATACAAAAAAAATATTAAGAACTTTGTAAACAAAAACCTTTTTTTGCTGGCTTAGCCTTTTCAGTTGTCTCTGAAACAGAACCTTTTTTAGCAGCAGCTTTTTTAGTTGTGACTAAAACGGAAAAATTTATATAAAATAATTGGTTAATTAACAGCTTTAAAACAATAAAAAATGATTGGATAAATTTTCCAAAAAAAGGAATAAATTTTCATGTTCAAAACATTTTAGTTAATACAGTTTTGGACTAAAACAGAAAAATTTATATAAAACAATTGATTAAATAACAGCTTTAAATTAATAAAAAAATGATTGGGTAAAATTTTTTTAAAAAGGAATGAATTTATGTCAAAAACTGTTATATTTTTTATTAAAAATTGAAGTTTATTTTCTTTTTTTCTTAATTTTTTATAATTATACTACAAACTTTATGGTATAAGGTATTTCTATATGAAATCTTAAAACATACTTAAGTCTTAGAATTTGTTTATTTTTACCTCACTTGCAGTCCATGTTAAAAAAATAACTGCAAAAATTTTAGTTAAAAATACACATGGGTTCTAGAAATATCGTCAGTTAAAATAATGCTGACTGAGCATTTTAGTGATTATGTGAAATGACTACAAAGCAACTTTGATATATAGTATCTTCATAATGGCTTGGAAAAATTTCCTCAAATTTGGAACCCTAATAGATTTTTGTTTGGAGAATCCAAAAAGAGCACTCTCAAGACTTAATTGCCTCAGAAAATGCCTTGTTTATATAATTTATTTTAAAACTATTGACTTGTAAATCTATGACATTTGAGGGTATAATGAAGACATGGATTTACAAGTCAATAGTTTTAAAATAAATTGGATAAACAGGGCATTTTCTGAGACAATTGAGTCTTGAGGGTGCTCTTTTTAGATTCTTTAAGCAAAAATCTATTAGAGTACCAAATTTGAGGAAATTTTCCTAATGAATATACCACATGTCAAAGTTGCTTTGTAGTCGCTTCATATAATCACTAAAATGATGAGTCAGCATTATTTTAATTGACAATATCTCTGGAACCCATGTGTATTTTTACCTAAAATTTTTGCAGCTATTATTTTGCAGATTAATATGGACTGCAAGTGAGGTAAAAATAAACAAATTCTGAGACATAAGGGTGTCATGGTTTGGATGATTTCATATGGAATGATCCTATATAAGTCTTAAAAAAAATTTGAAGAATTTAAAAAAAAAAAAAAAAGCAGATTTGTAATTAGACTTGGGAGATATCAAAATCTAAATTTCATTTTTTATCTAATAATTTTTTGTGAAGGAAACTTCTTGCATCTACCTTTAAATAAATTAAAATGAAAATTATCATGAAAATTTCAAGATTTTAACCTAAGTTTAAAAAGTGTTCAGAAAAGTGTTAAGAAATAATAACAATTCTAATATAAAATCTAATTTTAAATACGCAATAAAACATTTATATTTTTACATAACATGATTTTTATGGATGAAAACATGACATCAAAGAGATAGAGAGGTTGCACATAATTCAGCATATAATAGAACTACTAAGGAATTTGAAGTATTGATACTTGGAGGTGCCACAATGACTTGATTTAGAGGAGACAAATTAAAAGTTCTTAGGAAACAATTTTCTTTTCTTATTAGCTAATTTAATCATGCTATTGTTTTAAATTTTAGGAATGAAAAGACCTAAAATCTTGTTGATTTTTATCTTTTTTTGTAGCAATCTTTAAAGTTGAGTAATTTGTGTAGCAATGTTAAAACTCAGGATTTAATATGAGATTTTGTTGCTTAATGGAAAAGTGTAACTTAACTAAATGTGACATTACTCAATATACATAATTACATTGTTAGAAGTTAAACAACTTTAGTTGTCTATTTTAAAGAATCGCAATGTAATCAAATTTAATTGTAAATTTTTGACTACTTCTTGTAAACTAGTAGCAGTTATATCTAATCAACATTTTTTCTACAAGTTAACCTAAACAATTAATGGTAATGAATTGACTTTTATGAAAAAGCAATTTTAAAACTAAAAAAATCATAACAATTTTGTAAATATGTTAAATAAAGTTAACTTAAAAAATTGTTTATGAAAATTTTGCTTACAAAAATATGGTTATTTTGCAATACATTTATAAAAAGTTAGAAGTGCATTTAGCACTTTAGAAAATTTAACTTGAGAATACAAAAAAATCAAATAAACAAATAATTGTGAAAATAAAACCATTACTGCTTAGCACTTACCACATTACTTTTTTAGAAGACTGTTTAGATATTTTAATTATAAAAGATTTTGACATAACATAAATGACTACATGCCTAGGTAAAATTGCCGTTTCATATATAAGACGCAAATAAATAATATGTTTTTGAATATTTATCTTATAATTTCATATAGGTTTACTTAGATGTTCTTTTGTTTTATCTGTGGCTGAAGGTATTCGGTTGCATGTAAATAAACAGAATTATTGTGTTTATTAATCTTTGAGTATATACACTAAATTTATAATGAATATTTTAATTATAAGGTTGCATGTTTTTATAAAATAAAACAAATTCATTAAAACGATCAACTTCACTAAGCATTATGAATTATAATTGAGCCTATACTGAGTTAAACAAAACTGGAAATAAGTAAAAACAATCATTATTTCTAATATAATAATTCACTTCCTTTGTCTAAGGCATTTACGTCTAAATATGTTCCACTAGTGACTATAATCACTTATTCTAGTTGCGAATCTGATATGTAAAGAGAACATAATAAAATTGGACTGAGCGAGACTAAGAACCTTTATTTACGAACACAGAGATTTAAAGCAATTAAAGACATTAAATGACACAAAACTTTAACGTTTAGAAAAGTACAAACACAAAACACAATAACTTACAGAACACTGCAACAACACTTACTTAAATCTAACATGAACAACACTTAACTCAAACTTAATTACTGAATAGTACTCTTCTTTTAAACACCAACCCTTAATTCTAGACATCTGTCCAAATATTATAAATTATCTTGCACTTCCTTGCATTTATATAAAATATTTCTTCCTTCCCTTAAAACTATTACGGCCTGAAGGTTCCATATAAGTGGTGGAACTTTAATAGCTTCCACTGCAAAACAATAGCAGAATTTCCAAATACATATATTTTTTTTATTGTTTTGTGTTTGTAGCTTGATACATTTTACTTTGATGTATTTAAAGACAGTTAATCTTGTTAGTTAAATTTTGTTGTATGTGAAAATCCCAAGGCAATTTATAAGCAAAACAAATAATTATGCTTCTCTTTTGCAACTTTTTAAGTTGTATTTAATTGTTAAAAACATTTAACACTTACTTAAAATTTAGAATAATTATGGGAGTTGTTAAAAACATAAAATATATTGATTTGAAAATACTTAATTTATACAACTTTGAGCAACTTAAATAACCAACAATTTAGTCATTTTGTCTAAGTGACAAGTGAATAATCAGCTAGGCTATCATTTTGAAATTGAGAAAAGTTACAAGTGGTTAATCAGACAGAATATTAATTTTAAAATGTACTAAATAAGAATACATGAATAGTATAGTATAATGAATTTTGGTAGATGTAGAGAAGGACTTATTACTTATAGCAGCTTAATTATCTATTTAAACCTTCATTAAATAATTTATTAGCTAAAAAAGTTTTATCAAAAAAGCAGTTGAAATATAGTGTTTATATTGCTAAGTTTTAAAAAATTCAAGACTCTAAAGTTTTATGTTTCACTATTAAATTAAACTTCAAAATATAACAATTACTTTTCTGTGCAGCAGGCTTCACTTCTTCATCACTTGATTCGTCTGAACTAGGTTCTTTTTTAGATGGAGCTTTCTTAGAAGCAGCTAGGTAAAGAAAAAGATTGATAAAATAATATAAAATTACATATTAAAAGAATATAACAAACTCTTTTTTTGCAAAGTAACACAAGACAAATTAAAATCATTCTAGGGCTTAAGAATAAAAATTAAAAATACTTGAAGTTATAAAGCTTATTAAAAGAAAATAATTTGTAACTACAATTTTAGATAACAAAATTATATAATTTTTTTTTAGTTAACTTTTGATTAATGTTTTTAGAATAAACAATTTTTAAACTTGAGATTCAGTTCAAATTTTGTTTGCTCAAAGTTTGAGATAAGTTCAAATTTTGAAAGTAAAAATTTAGTTTAAGTTTGAAAAAGTTAGAGATAACAAAGACATAAGCAAACTTTTGAAGTACTTGATTTTGAAGCAATTTGATTTTGTATTTTGAAATAAAATTTTGCCCAAAATTGCTAAAAAATAATCATTTGATTAAAATTAGTTAATGAAACTGAACTAATTGTAATTTGTCTTATAAATAATTTTGTTAATAAATTTTAAAAAAAAAATTTGTTTTGAAATTTTTCTTGGAAAACAATTCATAATTTAAACAAAGCATTTTTTAAAAAATTATAAAATTTAAAGTTGCTGATTTTTTATATATTTTTTTTTTTTTTTTGTATTATTTTTTTATATTTTAATTTTTTTGAATAATGAAAGTAAATTTTGTTAAAAAAATAAATTAGAATATTTATCCAAAAAAAAAAAACAGAAAATTATTTTGCCTGTATTATTTTAATAAGAATTTAAGATTTGAATATCTAAATATAATTTTAATTTAAACATCCACCCAATGTGATATAGCCCACCTTTCTTAACTGTAGCAGGTTTGTTTTCCTCTTCATTGCTTGATTCTTCAGAGCTAGACTCTTTCTTAGCAGGTGTCTTTGAGGGAACAGCTTTTTTAGCTGGAGGTTCATCATTATCACTTGAATCCTCAGAACTAGATTCTTTTTTAGCTGGTTTAGCAGGTGTTTTAGCAGGGGTCTTTACAGCCACAGATTTCTTTGTGTTTTCTTTTTTAGCAGGTGTTTTTGTAGCAACCTTTACTGGTGCAGCTTTCTTTGTTGGGGGTTCATCATCACTAGACTCTTCAGAACTTGACTCTTTCTTAGCTTGTGTTTTTACAGAATTAATATTATTTGCAACTGGCTTTTTAGTATCTTCTTCATCACTTGAATCTTCAGAACTTGATTCTTTTTTAGCAGATGTTTTAGCAGGCGTTTTTACAAGATCTTTTTTTGCAGCTGGTTTTTTAGCTTTATTATCACTTGACTCATCAGAACTCGACTCTTTTTTAGCTAGTGTCTTGACAGGTGTCTTAACCAAAACAACAGGTTTTGCAACAGGCTTTTTAGTATCTTCTTCATCACTTGAGTCTTCTGAACTTGACTCTTTTTTAGCAGGAGTTTTAGCAGGCGTTTTTATAAGATCTTTTTTTGCTGCAGGCTTTTTAGCATCTTCATCACTTGACTCATCAGAACTTGACTCTTTTTTAGCCGGTGTCTTGGCAGGTGTCTTAACAGAAACAACAGTTTTTGCAACAGGCTTTTTAGTATCTTCTTCATCACTTGAGTCTTCTGAACTTGATTCTTTTTTAGCAGGGGTTTTAGCAGGCGTTTTTACAAGATCTTTTTTTGCTGCAGTCTTTTTAGCATCTTCATCACTTGACTCATCAGAACTTGACTCTTTTTTAGCCGGTGTCTTGGCAGGTGTCTTAACAGAAACAACAGTTTTTGCAACAGGCTTTTTAGTATCTTCTTCATCACTTGAGTCTTCTGAACTTGACTCTTTTTTAGCAGGGGTTTTCGCAGGGGTTTTTACAAGATCTTTTTTTGAAGCAGGCTTTTTAGCATCTTCATCACTTGACTCATCAGAACTCGATTCTTTTTTAGCTGGTGTCTTGGATGGTGTCTTGGCAGGTGTCTTAACAGAAACAACAGTTTTTGCAACAGGCTTTTTAGTATCTTCTTCATCACTTGAGTCTTCTGAACTTGACTCTTTTTTAGCAGGAGTTTTAGCAGGCGTTTTTACAAGATCTTTTTTTGCTGCAGTCTTTTTAGCATCTTCATCACTTGACTCATCAGAACTTGACTCTTTTTTAGCCGGTGTCTTGGCAGGTGTCTTAACAGAAACAACAGTTTTTGCAACAGGCTTTTTAGTATCTTCTTCATCACTTGAGTCTTCAGAACTTGACTCCTTTTTGGCAGGTGTTTTAGCAGGCGTTTTTGTAGGATTTTTTTTCCCTGCAGGCTTTTTAGCATCTTCATCACTTGACTCATCAGAACTTGACTCTTTTTTAGCTGGTGTCTTGGCAGGTGTTTTAACAGAAACAACAGTTTTTGCAACAGGCTTTTTAGTATCTTCTTCATCACTAGAGTCTTCAGAACTTGACTCTTTTTTGGCAGGTGTTTTAGCAGGGGTTTTTACAAGATCTTTTTTTGCTGCAGGCTTTTTAGCATCTTCATCGCTCGACTCATCAGAACTTGATTCATCAGAACTTGACTCTTTTTTAGCAGGTGTCTTGGCAGGTGTCTTAACAGGAACAACAGTTTTTGCAACAGGCTTTTTAGTGTCTTCTTCATCGCTTGAGTCTTCAGAACTTGACTCTTTTTTAGCAGGTGTTTTAGCAGGTGTTTTAGCAGGCGTTTTTACAAGATCTTTTTTTGTTGCAGGTTTTTTAGCAACATCATCACTTGACTCATCAGAACTAGATTCTTTCTTAGTTAAAATCTTTACAACAACAGGCTTTTTTGATGGAGATACTTCCTCATCACTGGATTCTTCAGAGCTAGATTCTTTTTTAACTGGTGTTTTAGAAGGCGTCTTCTTTGGAACAGCTTTATTAGCAGGAGGTTCTTCATTATCACTGGAATCTTCAGAACTAGACTCTTTTTTAGTAGGTGTTTTAGCAGGCGTTTTAACTGGAACTGTTTTGTTTGCTAGAGATTTTTCTTCCTCAGAAGAATCCTCAGAACTTGATTCTTTTTTAGCTTTCTTAGTAGGTTTTTTTTTCATTTGAGACTTGCCTGCTTCTTCTTCACTAGACTCGTCAGAAGTTGAATCTTTATGAGCAGGAGCTTTTTTAACAGCTTAAAAAGGGGTAAAGTTCATATTTTTAAGAACAATATTTTATCTTATCACAGTTTGAATTAGCAAAAAATTACTCATCAAAAGCATAAATTATTAATTTAAAATAACACAGGCTTTAAGAAAAATAAAAAAATAGGTTTAAAATATTAAAATATACACTTAGAATATAAAAAATTTGAGACCTGAGAAATTTAATTAACTATGTTAACAATTGTTTGCTCTTTTAGAAACATTTTAAAAATTTCTATTTAAATTAACTAACCAAAAAAGAAACATTTACTTTACGGTATCTAGAACTTTAAATTGTCTCAAGTTTCAAAGACTCCTTAAATGTTTTTTACATTAAGAAAAGAAAAATACTTTACATACCACCATTCTTTAATGGAGCGGTTTTAGTTGTAACTTCTTCTTCATCGCTTGATTCTTCAGAACTGGATTCTTTTTTGGCAGGTGCTTTTTTAACAACTAAAAAACAAGAATGCTATATATAAAATAAATTGCAATTATAATTAGATAATGCATCTTTTGTATTTGATTAACAATATATAAGATTTTTAAAGTATGCATTTCTGCATTTATGTTTAAAAATAAATTAATAAGTTGTAAGACTACACGATAACATCGCGAATAAACAATGATCAAACACTAAAAAATTGCAATAAATTGAAATTTATGGAATATGAAGCTACTAAATAAATTTCTAATGATTATCTAAAGTAGAGTTTTAATGGATGTACCTTCCTTTACTTTTTGTGTTTTCCCTTTTTTAACTTGCACTTCATTTTGAGTAGTTTCTTCATCTAAAGGTTCTTTAAGTGGCGTCTTAGATTTCTTAACCTTGACAGATTTTTCTGTGGCGGATACAACTTTGGTCTTGGCCATATTTGTGAAACGCTTCTGTTGATCACCACGAGGTAAAGAACTTATAAAATTCACGTGGAGGCGAATAAGTTTACGGTAATCTTTTGACTCCCTGTATATTTATAGTTAAAAAGGAGGAGATTTGTTAAAACAATTCCGTTTCACAAAGTTGAGCCGACGACGCAGCTTTTAAGTCGTAAATTTCTTTAAACACAATCGTCATTTTTTTTAAAGCCCTCTATATTTAAAACTTTTTATAAAAAAAAAAAGCTCTTTTAGAAAAAAAGTGTGGGAGGGGGAAGCCAGTGGTCCAAGCCCCCCTAGTGTCGTCGGCTCTGTTTAATAAACAAAAAATTTTATTAAAAGTAATTTGATTCATGAATAACGGCAAGGAAAAAAGGTAACGAAAAGCCCACTTTCCCAACACTCATTCATATCCCACTTTTAACAAAACTTTTACAATAAAATACAAACGTTCATTTAAAGATCTTGACTCCCTTGAAAACCTGCGACACTCTCCTTATAACGCTTATATTTTACTTATTCTCATTTATTAAAACAAATGAACTTTTTGGGGCATCTAAAATAAATAATAAAAAAATAAAAAATTTAAATGTTGAGTGATTTACATCAAGATTTCAATCAAATGATCTTTTTGATGACTAATGATTTTAATCAAATTTTTCATTATGTTTTTTTTTTTTTTTTTTTTTTTATAATAATAATAATAATAAATTATATAAAAACTTTTTTTTCATATTTTAAAACTGAATAAAATAAATATAGCAGAACTACGTATTTATAGAATTAATGACTCAAATTATACCATTATAAAAATACTACAAGTACAAGCTATAGTGCACAAAACAAATCAATGAACATAATCGTAAATTATTATTATTCTATATGTACAATATTAAAACTATTCATCAAAATCAAATTGAATAATTTTCTGCTGATTAATTGCCTTAAAGAGAAATACAAGCTTATTAACTTTTTTCGTATCCAGTCTATTTCTCAGTTATGATTGTACCAGGGCTTAAGAGAAGAAAACACGTTCAAAATCTCCAAAACATCTGCTACCACAGTCATCAATTGCAAAATTGTATTTAAGATTAGATAAAAAAAAGTTAAATTCAATATAACCTCCCCGATGTGATCTCCACCACTAAAAAAACAAATGCTGTTAAAACCTCCTTGCTAAATTTAAATTTCAGGAATGGGTATAATTTTCCTCTGAATTTCATAATTGAAGAGCGATATGTGGGTATTGTAAACGAGCATATTCCAACGCAGTATTTTTTTAACTTTATTCAACAACCGACCTTGGTAATGAGGTTCAAAAAGATAAGCCGGAGTCTCATTTTAGTAATGAGGTTCAAAAAGATAAGCCGGAGTCTCATTTTGGTAATGAGGTTCAAAAAGATAAGCCGGAGTCTCATTTTGTATATTTTTTTGATATTCTTTTGGACAACTTTTATACTTTTACACAAAAGTTTGTTTTCTTCTACATTTCATTCTTCGTTTGATTCTTCTACATTTCCACTACAACTGCTATTTTAAATTTATCACATTGATTCTTCTACATTTCCACTACAACTGCTATTTTAAATTTATCACATTGATTCTTCTACATTTCCACTACAACTGCTATTTTAAATTTATCACAAGTGACTAATTTAAAATAGCAGTTGTAGTGGAAGTTTATCAAGTGCAAAGACAATAGGTTTTGAGCGATTAAATTGGAGACATTCTGTTACACTGTTGTGTCAATTATGTTCCGGTTAGACAGAATTTAGCAGAGTTAATCAATTTGCAATATACAGATTTAGACGGCCACACTTGATATTTCAGAGAGTATCTTGAGGCAAGACGAGAAGAATATAATCTGGTTAGTCCACCATCTTTTTTATTTTGTCAGTGAGTTCTTTTTTATCCGTGATTTTACATTTAAATTCAATTTTTTGACAGAAATTGATGATGATCCTGCCCAGTGGGCATGCGTCGTCCGGGGGACGTCCGTTGGACGTCTTACGGACGTCTGGACGTCCGTGAGACGTCCAGCGGACGTTCTCCGGATGACACTTGCCCACTGGGTGAGGGTAACTTAGTAACATCAATTTTTTTTTTTTTTTTTCAAAAGAACGCTGAAGTAAACGCACGCTTTTTTCGTTGCTCAAAGAAAGTATAATCGCCTATATTATTAACAATTTTTTATATTATAATAATTTAGTATTATTATTTAGTAAGCAAGTAAGAGACTATTTACACTATTTACATCAGACAATTACTATGGAAGTTTCTATAAAAAACATCGAAAAACTAATAAAAAGCATGCTAGAGGAACAGAGAAAGAGTATTTTAAAAGAAACAGAAAAACTTCTTAAAGAACAAGAAAATAACTTTGCAAAAATCACTTGTGCAAATCTGAAAATAGTAACAGAAAGACTAGAAAAAATTGAAAGCGACTTGAACCACGACAAAATAAAAATAAAGAGTATGCTAAAAGATATTAATGAATTAAAAGAAAGTATTAATTTCCAAGAAGAGATTTCAAAGAAAAGGATATCAGAAACTAACAAACGCATAGATGACGTTAAAAAATTATGTAATGAAAAAACACTTCTTGATTCGAATAATGAATCAAGTATTTTAAAAGATATCAAAGAAAAGTTAATAGATCTTGAAAATCGATCCCGAAGAAATAATTTGCGAATTGATGGTGTTAAAGAACTACGAACTGTGAATCTTGGGAAGATTGTACTAAAATTGTTAAAAACATTTTTACTGGAAAACTCCAAATTAATAAAGAAATTATAATTGAAAGAGCGCACAGATCAGGGGCTATAAAAACAGGAAAAGAGCGATCAATTGTTTTCAAAACTTTTAAATTTTAACGATAAAAAGTTATTTCTACAAAACTCAAAAAAACTACGCGGAACAGGTGTGTTCATGAACGAAGACTTTGCAAAGCAAACAATAGAAAAGCGTAAAAAACTCTGGGGTGAAGTGATTAAATTGAGAAAAGAAGGTAAATACGCTATTCTCAAATATGATTCTATTTTTTGTAGAAATCATAAAAAGTAGTTTTTTTTTTTTTTTTTTACATACAGTATTAAGAAAGTTCTTCTAATTCATAACACAATCAAAATGTCTGCAATAAATGATTTTAAATCGTTTAGTTGTAATTTTTCAGAAATGAGACACTTCTCATCTAATGAAAACCTAGATCCAGATATTAATTATTTCAATGATATTATTACGGATTGTTCATATTACTATCCGAACAAATTAGAAATTTTTATGAAAATACAAAAAACAATAATTTTGATCAACTAAGAATTCTTCATATAAATATCAGAAGCCTAAACCGCAATTTTGAAAATCTTCTTAATTTGTTACAAGAAACCAACAATTTTTTTAAATATAATTTGTTTAACTGAAAGCTGGATAACTGAATTAGATTTAAATATTACTTCAAACTTTAATCTTCCTTACTTTGAGTTAATTTCTCAAGAGAGACTTATCAATAAACGCAGTGGAGGAGTTCTTATTTATGTTAAGAAATATATTACTCATTATATTAGGAATGATTTAAGTGTTTCTGACTGCGACAGAGAAATTTTAACTATTGAAATTCTAAACGACCAATCAAATATCATTTTACTGAGCTGTTGCTATAGGCCTCCGAACGGTGTGGCCGTGAACAGGAGCATGTATTTTGAAGAAAACCTTTTCAAAAAAGGCATCATTGAAAAAAAAAATAATTTTATTGCAGGGGATTTCAATATGAATTGTTTCCATTACTCTACCGACATTAAAGTTAAAAATTTTTATGATTCTATTTTTGAAATGGGAGCCATTCCTTTAATAAATCGCCCTACTAGAGTAACTCCAAAATCAGCTACTCTAATTGATAACATTCTAACAACTGATATTTTTAATAGTGACTTAAACAAAGGTATATTAAAAACAGACATATCTGACCATATCACTATTTTTTTTACCATTAACTTCAACTCTAAAATTTTGACTAAAACTAGCATAAAAGTTAAATTACACAACTATAACCAAAAAAATATTGAGCAATTTAAAACACAATTATCATTGCTTCATTGGAAGAACATCGACTTTAGTGATAACGCAAACAACATCTACGATAATTTTTTTAATGCATTTTACTCTGTTTATGATGCCAATTTTCCTTTATATGAAAAAACTATAAATCAAAAAAACGTTAATTCTCCCTGGGTTACCAAAGATTTAAAAAAATCATCAAAAGTTAAACAGAAATTATACATAAAATATCTAAAAAACAAATAATTAGCCAATGAGAAAATATACAAAGACTACAAAAATCTTTTTGAAAAAGTTCGAAAAAACTTAAAAAAGCATTACTATTCTAAAACTCTCAATAAAACAAAAAATAATTGTAAACGCTCCTGGGAAATAATAAAAGAAATTACAGGTAAATCAAAGCCATGCTCAGGTTCCTGCTACACATGATCAAAGTGGATAACAATATTATAAATAATTCTCAAACAATAGCTCATGAGTTTAATAAATTCTTTGTTAAAATTGGTCCTAAACTATCTAAATTAATTCCTAACACTGAAGTCTCAATTAAAGATTTCTTAGTACCGATGGATAATTGCATTCACTCGGATGAGTTATCTAAAGAGTTACTAATTGATGAGTTCGAAAAAGCCTTTAAAACACTAAAAAAAATAAAGCAGTTGGACCGGATGAAATCAATGGTAACATAATTTTAAATTGTTTTGAACAAATAAAACATATTCTTTTTAAAGTCTTTAAATCATCAATCGAGCAAGAAATCTTTCCTGATCAATTGAAAATTGCTAAAGTTATTCCACTATTCAAAGGTGGTGACAAATCTGACATTAGTAATTACCGGCACATCTCTATCTTGTCTATATTTTCTAAATTACTTGAAAGAATCATGTTCAATAGATATTTAATTATTTTAGTTTAAATAATTTATTATTTCACAATCAGTTTGGCTTTAAAAAGAATAACTCAACTGAGCATGCAATTATTCAGTTGGTTCGTGAAATTTCCAATTCTTTTGAAAAATCTCAATTCATATTAGGAATTTTTATCGATCT